ATAAAACGCTGGACGATGTGCGTGAATTCGTCCACGATGACTTCATTGCCTCGAAGCCTATAAGAATTCTTCCTTAACGGCAATCGTACGCTAACTGAAATATGGCGCGAGGTCATACAATACGATGTACAATAATTCCAAGATTAAGCTTATCGTTCTCCTCCTTCATTATCTTAAATACATTTGCTGAAAAATCTGTAATTAATCAAAAGGCTAACATTGGAGCACCAAACCGTTCACCACCACTCAGCAGCCACGCGCCAATCATGAACGGTCGAAAATTCTAGTTGTTCTACTAGCACACTCTCAACACCAAACAATTCTCACAACCGACGCGAGACGTACCTTCTTGGAAAGCAGCAGTTGGTGCTCCATCTCTTCGGCGCACATCACGTCGTCCATGCCGGGCCCGAGGATCAGCGTGCCCACCCAGGCCTCACTGCCCGCGCCACCAACACCGCCTACTCCAGCCACGTAGTCCGGATCCCTCGTTGGTGAGTGCGCGTCGGCGGCAACGCCACCGCCTTTCACCACTGCGTTTTGCCTCTCCGAATCGGGGATGGACTTGAGGGGAAAAAGGGTATGGCGTCAACTGAAAACCCGATCATATTTCTGCGTCCTAAGGACACTGCTTTAACTGCATTTTCGAATGATGCATAACTAGAAGGCACTCTCACACTCATCACCCACATCTCAAGGCTCCTGCGACTGGGAGAGGCAAAAGGAGAGCTAAGAACAACCCCCCTTAACACAGGAGTAAAGTCGTACCGAGGATTCGGCGCAGCTAGAGCTCGGCCGTTCGTTGCTCACATAACCGTTATCTGTAGTCGTCGCAGCCGAGGACGAAGCCGTCGTCACGGTGTCGTCCAGAGTTGGTCGCTTGGCGGACACAGCAGTGCTGGTGGTCACTCGGTAGGGACTCACAGCAGTCGGATCTGAGACGAACTCGGCCAAGGCAAGCGATCGCACCTCTTCTGCCTCGGCGACATCGTCTTCGTCATCATCGTCGTCGTCTAGGAAGACGTTGCTCTTCACAAAGACACCCACGCCCTCGATTATGATGGCTGCTGCACCACCTGTGGTGGCGCCGGTGGTCCTCGCCTCGGCAGGCGCCGGCAAAGCGGAGCGGTGACGGCCGCCCAGCTCCGACTCGCTGTCGGTGTCACCGGACACCGAGGTGCCGCGTCCGTCGCCACCGCAACCACCCGAGGAGCTGCCCGTGGCCTTGGTCGTGATTGCAACCGCGCCCGCGGCCGGGGGTGGTTTGTCGTTGTCCGTGGCGTCGTTGGGAGGATTTTCACTCTGGAAAAAAATGCTCACAGTGGGTCGAGCCAACTACTGCTACGCATTGGGTGTAGGACAAGCTCTTTGCCTACGATTTGTGGATCGTGGTTTTTACCACCACCGTGACGTACCACTTAGGTCGATGTCACTCTTAGGGCATTAGTTAGTCAACGTGAAATCTACATTGGTCGGATAAATTTAGAGGTTTATATTTTCCTATCAAAACCAGTACCGATGTTAGCGCAATCGACTGCACAGCCGAAAAACGCCACCTCTAGGCCTTACATTCGTAACTTCAGGCTGCCAACAATTTCCTTTACCACACCTTCGTCACCGTGATTTTTGTCCCTTTTTTGCAACATGAAAACTGTTTAACAAATGATTGATAATGTCGATTTTCTTTCATTGGCACAGATTAATTGGACCAAAGCTGTAGGGGATCCACGATTCCCCAAGATCGGTTTCTGGTGCCATTTACATTTATTCACTAACACTTGTTTTGCTACGCTTTTTATCAAGTCAAGGTCAACTCTGACTTGGACTACTTTCGTTTTCGGACTGCACGCCGCACGTGGCTGACGTGAATACAGCTGCCTACACGAGCTCTGGTCTTGTTCTTGTTTTGGCCTGGGAAGGTCGGTGCTAGCGTCAACAAGGGTTCTGGTACCGTTATTTGAGTGGTTTTCTCTCTTGTTACGGGCAAACGTAACAAAAGCCTTCCAGTTTTTTTTTCTAATTCAATTGAACATTCCCTGTCAAGCTTGAATTCCTTGGTGGCAGATAAAGGCTGAAAAATCTAGGATACCGATGCAACAATAAAAATAAAAATCGAAGTTTCATAACCTCTAATTCATTCACCCCTTGTAGTTACCATCGGTAGACATGTGTCCGGCTTGTGCTATCTTTAAAAATGAGAAAGAGCTCGAGCTTGGATTGCGAGTGAAAGCGTTTGAGTGGAATATTATGCCAGATTATTTACATGACTTAATTTGAACAGATTACTTCCTCGGGCCTAAACTTATATTTAAACCTGATACAATTTTGAAATCTTCAGTGGTTTTGAAGAATCGGACGCAGGGTTTCGAAACACTGATGGACGCGTATCCGTGAGTTACATTACCTCTGAGAGGAGCCGATTTCACAAACGCAACTATCAGACAGCGACTTCCAAGGCAGGAAGAAAGTGTGTCTAAGGCACGACAATCAATTTGTAATATTCTCGATGCCGACGTTGGGTTTTATGAAACGTGCTGTCACTAGTGCCAACGTTTTAGAAGTGGCAATTCCCAAGTTCCTGACCGAATTATAGCCTCAAAACTATGAAGATGAGTGATTTTCAAGCTCTACTGGATGAAGGCCTAACGCAAACGCAACAGGAGCTTGCACCTTGGTTAGGAGTCACCGAAACACCCTTTTCCAAGCGTTTCCACAACCAAGTAGGAACAATTTAATAACTTGGAAGTTGGGTCCCTTCCACATGTGTGTGATGGCCGAACACAACATTGGTCTTCACTGCTTGCCCGCCGGCA